CTTACGGTATCATTGGCTCTGAACCTACCTTCCACAGAGAAGGGTTGTAGAGGCACATAATTGACACCATAGTCTGCTGCTACCTCCAACCACCTAGGCTTCAAACCTTGGACTTATCTCCATCCTTGACTCTTTCTTCCCCCTCACCTCCCATATTACTCAGTCATATTGATTCTACTTATACTGTACAGCTCACCTCCATCTCTTCTTCTCCTCTCCACTTTCCCGAATACCACCATAGTTCTAAGCTTTCATTTCTTATTGACGGAACCATTATAACAGTCCTTTTCCTGGTCTTCTTTCAACTTTTTCTTTCTCTTCAGTCTGTGACTTATCTAGGTTCTTATGGAATGTATATGACAATTGCCAGACTGGAAATCACATCTTCCGGCCTTCAAGAGTAGCTGTCCATACTGTGCCAACTCTCTATCTATAAGAAACACAAAATATATTTTAATGATTTTCAGGGCATGACACATATATAAAATGATGTGCCATTTGCTGAGAATAGAATAAGGGTTACATAGGATCTACAGGAAGGGTTGGAAAGAGTGGCATATGGACATAGGAGAGATGTGGCCCACATGGTTGGGTGTGAGCAACCACAGAGATGTTATCATGGAAGGAAATTTCTTTCTTTCTTTCTTTCTTTTTTTTAAAAGCAATTGGGGTTAAATGACTTGCTCAGGGTCACACAGCTAGTAAGTGTCAAATGTTTGGTCTGAGGCCAGATTTGAACTCAGGTCCTCCTGACTTCAGGGCCGGTACTCTATTCGCTGCACCACCTAGCTGCCCTGGAAGGAAGTTTCTTTCTCCATAGCCTACAACTCAGGAGCTCAAAGATTCTGAATGGAGTCAGGTCTGACATAGCAGACCAGGGGTATATAGATTTGATTATCAATGTCTGAAAAAGAAAGTTGGAAAGTAGCATCCAGTGGGAAAGCAGGAAGGTACATGCATGGTGATGGGGAAGATATCCAGTTTTGGTATTATTTTTTGATCAAGGCAGGGTTTGGGAGAGTCCAGGAGCTAGGCTAGTTTTAGAAAGGTGAGGCATGTTGGAGGTACTTACCTACACTGAGGTCAGCACAGCTCTTCACCAAGACTCATTCCAATTCAAATAAGGTGACATATGTAAAGCACTTTGTAAACCATAAGGCATTACACAAATGCTATATATTAGTATTATTAAGTAAATTCTTTCTGGAGAGTCAGGGTGCAGAATGAGAAGGAATGAACAGGAAGATCTTTGTCCAGTGAAAGGTATGAAGAAGGAAGGATATTATAATAGATATCTAGAACATGTGGTAGTCAGTGTATAGGTGGTAGAGTGTTCGGGCCAGAGCGGTTATAGGGGAGTGAGGCATATTTGAGGTATTTATTCTCTTTCAGGTTGGCTCAACTCTACACCACATGTGTGCCTGAAGTGTAGTGGACAAGGCCATTGAAAATTATGGAAATTAGGGAATTGAGAAATCAGATTGTTGGAGGGTTTATCTAGATAAGTGTTGAAGGCCCTATGGATGAGGATTGGGAATGAGGTAGAGAGGAAGACCATATTTCATGTAGCAATGTCTTAAAAAATGGAGACTGCAACCTCCTTGTGGTCAGATGACAGAAATGACAGGGAGATTTTGGTATGGAGACATTTCATGAACCCTAAAATGTAGTGGTCCTCAAGAAATGGTAAAATTATGTCCAGTAAATGACAGTGTGAAACAAAGAATGTGCACACCATGTTGCAAGGGAAGTATCATCCTCAGCAAAGAGTAAGGCTTTATTTAGGTAATGTTAATTGAAAAAATCAAGGGTATGGGGGATTTCTTGAGAAGCAAACAAGGATGACAAAAAGTATAAGGAAATAAAGTAATAGATGGACAAGTTGGTGTCAAGTATACCTGAAGAGGATTAGGGTTGTTAAGAACAGGGATAAATGTTTGGGTCAAATAGTGACAGTATATAGATATTATGTAAGGTGTTAAGAAGTAATGAATTGAAATGGAAAGTAAGTATGGTAGAAAGCAGATTGGTATGGTATTGGAATTTGGAATTTTTGTGCTTTAGATCTTTAGATTTTGTGCTTCAGATCTATTGTTCCAGATAGAGCAATTTGGAACTATGCCCAAAGGACTGTAAAAATGTGCATACCCTTTGATCCAGCAATAGCATTGCTAGGTCTGTATTGTAAAGAGATCATAAAAATGGGAAAAGGACCCACATGTATAAAATATTTATAGCAGCTCTTTCTGTGGTGGCAAAGAATTACAAATTGAGGGGATATCCATCAATTGTGGAATAGCTGAATAAGTTGTAGTATATGAATGTAATGGAATACTATTGTTCCATAAGAAATGATGAGCAGGCAGACTTCAGAAAAACCTGGAAAGACTTGCATCAGTGAAGTGAGAACCAGGAAAACATTATACACAGTAACATCAACATTGTGTGATGATCAATTATGATTGACTTAGCTCTTCTCAGCAATGCAATGATCAAAGACAATTCCAAAAGGCTTATGATGGAAAATGCTACCCACAAGCAGAGAAAACTATGGGGCCTGAATGCAGATCGAAGCATATTCCATTTTTGTTTGTTTTTTTCTTTCTTGTGGTTTCTCCCATTGGTTTTAATTCTTCTTTACCACTTTACTAATGTAGAAATACGTTTAATATGATTGCACATGTATGGCCTATACGAGATTTCACACTGTCTTAGGGAGGGAGAGGGGACGGAGGGGGAGAAAATTTAAAACTCAAAATCTTATACAATTGAATGTTTAAGACTAAAAATAATTATTCTTTAAAAAAAGAACATAGTTAAATTTATAAGAATACAAGGCAATCCCCAATTGATAAATGGTCAAAGGATATGAACAGGCAGTTATCAGACAAAGAAGTCAAATTAGTCACATTAAAAATGTTCTAAATCACTATTAATTAGAGAAATGTAAATTAAAATAACTCTGAAGTACTACCTCACACCCAGCAAATTGACTAATATGACAGAAAAGGAAAATGATAAATGTTGGAGATATGGAAAAATTGGAACACTTATGCACTGTTGGTGGAGTTATGAACTGATCCCACAATTCTGGAGAGCAATTTGGAACTATGCCCAAAGGGCTATCAAACTATGCATATCTTTTGTTCCAGTAATGCCACTACTAGGTCTGTATCCCAAAGAGATCATTAAAAAAAAGGAAAATGATCTATATGTACAAAAATATTTATAGCTGCTCATTTTGTGGTGGCAAAGAATTGGAAATTGAGGGAATGCCCATTAATTGGGGAATGGCTGAACAAGTTGTGGCATATGAATATAATGGAATACTATTGTGCTATAACAGATAAAAAGCAGGTGAATTTCAGAAAAACCTGGAAAGACTTACATGAACTGATGCTGAGTGAAATGAGCAGAACCAGAAGAACATGGTACGAAGCAACAGCAACATTGTGGGATGATTAACTATGACTGACTTACCTTTTCTCAGCAATACAATGATCCAAGACAATTCCAAGAGACTCATGATGGAAAGTGCTATCCACATTCAGAGAAAGAACTATGAAGTCTGAATGCAGATCAGAGCTTACTGTTTTCCCTTTCTTAATTTTTTTTGTTTGTGTTTTTTCTTTTGTTCTGTTTCTTTTGTCACAACATGACTAATGTGGAGATATGTTTAACATGATTGCAAGTATATAACCTATATCAGACTGATTGCCGTCTTGGGGAAGGGAGCGGGGAGGGAGAGAGGGAGAAAAATTTGGAACTCAAAATCTTATAAAAAATGAATTGTTGAAAACTATTTTTACATTTAATTGGAAAAATACTATTTATATTTTTAAATAAAATTGTTATAATTAAATACATATATATATAAAATTACCAAAATCCAGAGCTTCAAGGTAAAAGGAAAAATACTGCAATCAGTCAGAAAAAATTTAAGCGCAAAGGAACCACTGCCAGAATCATACAGGATTATGTTTCAACTATAGGAAAGAATACCATGGAATATCAAAGGGACTCATCTCCAGGGGTAAATACCAATGGGCCTGGATATGAGTGAGGACAGCAAAAGGACTGTAGACTGGCAGTGGCACTAAGCACCCTGGATGACGTGAAGTCAACCGAATAAGAACTGTCCACCAAGGATGGACACTAAGAGAACTAGATACTGAAAACTAGGGGTGGGTACCAAGGTGACTAGAAATTGGGATTAAACTCTGTGGAGACCAGACAGTGGATGGGATACAATGAGGAGCCTAATTACAGATTTCTGACGTTGAGAAATAGAGACTCTCAGCTAACTGCACTGGAGAGGAATGGCAAACTAGGGGTGCCCTGGGATAGAATGGTTACTTTAGATAAATTCCAGGAGGCCTCTGGATAGTAAGGGAGCTGAATACTAGACACTGAATACAGAGGGTGGTTAACACCAAGGAGAATGGACACTTGGAAAGGACATAGAAAAGAGTAGATATTGTGGAACATAAACTGAGAATATTGGTTAATGATATGTGAATGTGAGAAATGGAAACTACCAGTAATCAGCAGGGAAGAGGAATAGAAAACCAGGATTTTTTAAAAAATGGAATGTAATGAAGTTGATGGAATAGGGTTAAAATCTGAACTGGCAGATCTACATTAGGGAATATTTTCCTTTCCAGATTATATCATTTCAAGCTTCCCCAAGATTTGTGAAGGCATACTTTGGAGCAAGTCCTTTTGGATGCCTCGTGGAGAGGTACCCAACATCTCTGAGAATCTAGGTGCAGGATCACTCAGAGTCCAGTCCCTGAAAGACTGAGAAAAATGGACTCTGGGCCACTAAGAGACCAAGTACCTGGTCACTCAAGTGCCCAGTCTGGGGTCCCTGAGGAACCAGATCCAAGGTCAAAGAGGCACAGGTTATTTGACTTTAGTGAGGTTACACAGAGTCAAGAAATTTCATGTTCAGCACTGGTATTTATTAGGAGCACATATATTAATATCACAGGATCCAGCACAACCAGGATAGAGGACTGACATGGGTACTCCAATAAGAGCTCACAGGCTACATAGAAGAGGGAGCAAGAAGGCAAGGCCTGCTTAAAATTTGGGATCTTGATTGGTGGTTTGATCTGATTGGGCTCATTTACCACCTCTACATCAACTGTTGTGATCCTCTTCTATCAAGGGAGTCAGCTCCCCGAGGAAGCAATCCCAGATCCAAGTCTCAACTCTGGAAGAAAGGAAGGTATATATTATGGAAATCAGCACATCAACTCCAGCCCAATCCCTCCTATCTAAGCCTTCCTTATACCTGAAAGGGAAGGGGCCAATCTGACAAGAGTTCAGAGAAGGGTGCTTCAGCTTCATCATTTTCCCAGTCAATAGGGTCTCAGAGCTCCCCACCACCCTCTGTTCCCAATGCCCAGCTTACCCACTGCCAGGCAGATTTTCCATATCAGGATGAAAACACTAAAAACAAATAGCTAAATAAATCATCTTCCACTTTGTGTCAATATAATAAAAATTATAAAGCTATGTAAATCAATGTAATTATTTCCTATTATTTGAATTAATCTACTAAAGAGTTACTCAAAAGATGTATGAAAAATTATATAAATTCATCAAGGAGAACAAAAGATAAAAAATCTCAAGGGCAATTAATAAAGAATGAGAAAGTAGGGGCATGGAAGTACCAGATTTCAAACTATACTGAAACATAATCTTAAAAATGATTGAATACTGGTTAAAAAATTAAAAAAAATTGATCACTGGGAGAGATTAGATACACAAAAGTAATTTAACATAATAATATAGTATTTGATAAACACTATATCCCCAAAACCAAATTAGCAACAATAACAAAATAATTTAGCAAAGCAGAAAAAGAGGAACCTTTCACATATATAAATAAGTGAAGAGTTCTTTAAGAAACTAGTAGAGAAGACCACATGAGATTAAATAGACTATTTTGGTCACAGAAAACTGAAAAGTTATGGCACAAAATCAATGAAATTAAAATTAGATGGGAATCAGTTAACTTGGGGGGAAATTACAGCAAGTTTCTCTGATAAAGACCTACTATTTAAGTTATATTTAGAACTGATGCAAATATATAAGAACAAGAAATTTTCCTAGTAGAAAGTCAAAGGATATGAAGAAGAAATTTTAAAAGGAAGAAAAGCAATACAACAATTTCATGTTAAAACAATAGTTCCACATTACTGATAATAAAAGAAATGTACATTAAAAAAATTCTAGTGTTGTGTCTCATCTCTATCAGACTGTCAAGAATGATGAAAAAGGAAAACAACTGTTGGAGATACTATCAGAGGAAAATCTTATTAGTGCACTGTTGAGGGCACTGTGACTACCATTCTGGACAGCAGCATGAAACTATATACTCCAAAAGTCACTAAACCATGAATACCATTTGACACAGCAATAGCACTATGAGCCAGACACCCCAAAGTGATCAAAAGAGAAAAAGCATTCATAGCAGAACTTTTTCTTCTAGCAAAGAATTGGAAATTAAAGGGGTACCCATCAATTAAGCAACATCTACAAATTATGTTATATGAAGGTAATGGAATATTACTGTGTAGTAAGGAAGATGAATGGGATAGATTCTGAGAAAAAATGAGAAGACTTATATGAACTGATGTTCAGTAAAGTGACAGAAACAAGAAGGCAACTTGTAAAATGACTTCAATATTGCAAAGAAAAATAATTTTGTAAGACTGAATAACTTGGATCAGTGCAAAGATAATATACGCTTCTTACATCTTGATTGACCAGTCATGGACTATTGGCAAAAAAAAAAAAAAAAAATGAACCAAAGAACGTCAGCTTGGCTAATGTAAGGATATGCTTTACTTGATTAGGCTAATTTGTTACAAGGGATTTAAAAATATAAGTGGTGAGAATTGTGGAGAAGAGAACTAGTGATAGTGTTGTCCAGAAGAGAAGAGAGGAGAAAAGAGAGGAAAAGAAAGGAGAGGAAATCAGAGAAGAGGAAAGGAGAGAGCACCAGTGAAGGATTTTTAAAAAATAAGTCACTGACAATCAGTACAGATTTCAAACCATTATATTGAATTTATTGCATACTTTTAAAAATGATATGTCAGAGTTTTATGTAGAATCCTATTTTTTAACTATTTCTATTTGGAAATAGTCATGTTTATTCATGCTCTTCAAGTTTAGAAGAATAAAAAATTTTCAAAAAGAAATCCTTCCTTTGGTCTACCTACTGGTTAGGGAATAGATACTTCAGTACCAGCAATAATACACCAAGTCCTGCCACTGCCTTTGTTAGACTGACAGATAGAGGACCACTACCCAGAACCCTGCAGTGGACACTTTGGGAAACACACAGAACAAAATGTATCTGCACTGACTACACTGAGTTTATACATGAGATTTTCTCCACCTCTGAAGGTCCCCAAGTAGCCCAGATCTACTCCACTGTCAGAAACACGCCCAAATTCATACCTGATAATTTCAGTTCCATGAATACTTTCAGAGGGCTCATCCATGCTGTCTGCATCTTCAATTTATATTTTTTCTTTACAAGCATCCTTACACCATCTTATAATTTTGTTACCAACCTTTAAAAAGGGGAGAGACATGAGAGAGGAATGCTGAGTCACAAGCAGGTATCCAACAATACAGACTTGGTTCTTTGAGGACTAAAACTTCCTTCCTGGGTTCAAGATTTTTCCTTATGGATGTCATGGAAACATCTCCCAAACCACTGGCCCCCAATGGAAATGGCACGTCAAGATGGACCCTATAAAATTGGTATTCCTTCCCTGTGCAACAATTAAATGTTGGATTCTCTAATCACAATTTGTATTGCCATTTTAGCCCCTTACTAATATTGTTTTAGTGAGAAAGGACTAAGGATAAAAAATCTGCCCTAACACAGAAATCTCATTCCTACTTCAAATCCTAAATGACCCAGCACCAAGGATGAATACTATTTATTTCCACTGGAGGCCAAGGATTTATGAGTCAAGCTTCCATAATACCCTTTGTTCACCTTTAAACCCTTCTACCTGAGAGGTCCATTACTTCCTAGGCAAAATAAACTGCCTTTTTTCATCATTCACAGGTTTATGGAAAGCAGTGTTATCAAAGGTAATGTGTTCAAACAGAGGGGATAGCCAGGTATGCCAGACTCTTACCATTTAACATGGTCTTACCTTTCCCAACAAATTCAAAGATACACTTAACACTATCCACAAAACTCATGCTGTCAACAGGAAATAGAAGGGATAAGAGGAAGAGGCTTGTGATGAACTTCATTCTAAAGGTCAGAAAGGAATGCTGGAAAAAGATGTTAATTAAGTCACACCAACACTCATAAATGCCTTTTAGTTTTACTACTTTACTATCCCTGGGGGCACATTTGCATGTGATTTTATTACACTAGCTATGTAATATTTGAAAGTACCCAAATTATTTTTAAAAAGAATCATGGGGGCAGCTAGGTGGCACAATGTAGAGAGCACCAGCCCTGGAGTCAGGAGGACCTGAGTTCCAGTCTAGCCTCAGACACTACCTAGCTGTATGACCCTTGGCAAGTCACTTAACCCCAACGGCCTCCCCAAGAAAATCAAGAACACTCCAATCTATCCATACTCCATTAGCTCTTGGGAGAAAATCCAATAGGGCTCTCTTAGCATGGGTACCTTGCAGGATTGTACCCTTGGCACTGATACCATGAATGCCACTAAACTTTTCTGTGCTTTGCTCCCAATTTTCTATTTTGTTATCCAACAACATAGGACAGTCAGGGACATTATTCAATTAACCAAATGGGTTCAAAAAGCATTGATTATATGCCTATGATATGATTTGCATTTTTTACAAATACAAAATACAAAAGACATAAAACCAACCCCCCCTTTTTTTTTATAAAATCATTCCCTGCTCTCAAGCAGCTTACATTCTACTACAGCAGGTCTTATTTAGAACATCATATATGTTAGCTCTCAAGTCATACAAAGAAAAAACAAGAAAAAGTCCTTGTTCACAGAAACATTGTCAACTAAGTGTGATAGAGGCTTTACAGTCAAAAAAAAAGTCAAAGAAAGGCCTCAGAGAAACACAAGCTTACCTTAGGTCAGAGTCTGTGAAAAGGTCCAACTGACAGGACTGCTATGCAGTGGAGGGGAGGCTGATACTTATACAGGCTTTTTGGAAATGCAACAAATAAGGAATGAGTTTGTAAGCCAATGGTGCATGAGGTAAGTTGGGGAATTCCCCCTTAAAAATTCTTCCTGAGTGGTTATTAAAATAAATGTCAAAGAACAGAGAAACAATCCTTTTCTCAGACTACAAAATACTCAACTCTAGTTTCTTGGCAAGGTTTCCTATTTGCATGCTTTCTCTTACTTTCATTGTCTTAGCACAAAGGAAAGTGTTCCATGGCGTCAGTTTAACACATTGAACCAGATAATCTTACCCTCTGAATGTTATAGATAGATTTCAGTCTCTGTAAAACATCCTTTCCAATGTCTGAAGTCTAGGTCCAGTTTAGTTTTGAGTTATAAAAAATAATCAACATTTTGTAGATTTAAAAAGCATGTTACACACATTGTCTCATTTGAGTTTTACAACAACTTCATGATGTAGGTTCTATAGATGACGAAACTGAGGCCTAATGAGATCAAGTGACTGGTCCATGGTTAAACCCAGGTAAAGTTATAAGGAGTAGGCAAATCTTATTGAATTAAACTTTATTTCCCAGTTTTCATTCCCTTCTGAACCTTGCCATTCTTCCTTTATGAGATACTGCTTCTGCTCTACCTATGTAAGACATGTCCTTCAAAACTCAAATGAGATGTCTCTTCACGATTAAGGTTTTCTTGGCTTACCCCAGACTGCAGTGCCACCCCATTCTTAAATATTGTTCTTATTCTCCTATATGTGTCAGAGATAAGTGTCAAAGACTTCCTCCATATGTAGTTGAGGGAAGAAACATACATTCCAGCCTCTTTTCATTCAAGCACTTTGGTGCTGGTATGCACTGGCCTGGTGAATGAATTCTGTGTAAGAATCATGTTGCAATGTGTGAAAGGTAATAAATAATAAGAAGAAATCCAAGAAGTTTATATAATTCATCAGTGGTGCTCCAGATTTTTCCCTCACCCTGTTTGGGGATTAACCTACAACATATTGTATGAATTCTGTGCCTCATGTATCCTAACAATGTTTCCCTCCAGATCGTTCATGGTTTGGGCTCAGCTCCTGGACTATAACAGTTCTAGTAGACAAAGCAAATCTAGGATAGGATCTGAACAGTGATACCACATCCTAAGACCTCAGCCTGAGAGCACTAAATCTCACCCTTGTCAAAAGAGCTCAATTTTCCATAAGCAGGGAAGATGGTCCAACATTCATCATGATCACTCATTGTTTTATAAAGTTCATCTCTTATCCCAATAAGATTGTAAGTTCTTGATGCTGAATGAAGTGAGCAGAACCAGGAAAACTTTGTACACAGTAAAAGCAACATTGTGCAATGATCAACTATGATTGACTTAGCTCTTCTCAACAAAACAATGATCCAAGACAATTCCAAAAGACTCATGATGGATAATGAGATCCACGTCCAGAGAAAGAACTATGGAGTCTGAATGCAGATGAAAGCATACTATTTTCACTTTTTTGGGGTTTTTTTGCGGCTTTTCCCTTTTGTTCTGTTTCTTCTTTCTCAACATGACTAAAGTGGAAATATGTTTACATGATTGCACATGTATAACCTATATCAGATTGATTGCCATCTTGGGGAAGGGAGTGGGGAGGGAGAGAGGGAAAAAAATTTGGAACTCAAAATCTTATTAAAATGAATGTTGAAAACTATTTTTACATGTAATTGGAAAAATAAATGCTATTTATTTAAAAAATATTGTAAGTTCTGTGACAGCATGGACTTCTTTATGCACTTCTTGTATCCCATAGGACCTACCAAGATGCTGGATATATATTAAGGAAACTAATATACAGAATGTGAGTTGAAAGGGACCTCAAAAACCATCTGGACTGGCTTATATATGACATAATGGTCCTGGTTTTATAGCACAGTTGTAGCCCCTAACACCAGCTTCCAAGTACTGATGAGGTAGCTCTCTAGGGGAAAGGAATTGGTCATCATAACTATAGGAGACAGGGGTGGAAGAGAGAATATGAGATCTAACCTTATGATAAGTCACTTCCTAGCTTGGTGGTTAATGAACCTGGGAACATATTATGAAAAGCCAAGAAAAACAAATCTATTCCCTCTTGCAGGTGACAACTCTTAGTTTTTAAAGATGACCAATTCTCATAAGTTATAAATTTGCAACCTTCACCATAAGTGTCACTGATCTGTGAACACTCTCATCTATCAGGGTCCTTCCTAAATGTGGCACTCAGAATTGAAATATTCTACAAAATATCTGATCAGGCCAGAGTGCCTTGGGACTATGACTTCCCCAGTATAGGAAACTCAAAAACTCCAGTAATACATATTGTAATTCAATCCATGCCTTCCCACCCTATTGGAATCTTGTTCACATCTTTCCAAAATTTCTCCTCAGATAATCCACCCAAGGTGCTAGAGACTTTCCTCATTTTCTCCTGACTTCGCAAAGACACTACTGAAGAACTCAGGCCCTCTAGCTATTATCCCTTATCCTTGACACAAAATTGGCCTATTTTCTTTTCTTGTCATATTATTTTTTTGATGATATCTTTTACTCCTACTTCAAAGTTCCTTATTGTCTATATGTTGGCAAGGCTAAGCTGTTTTCATTGGCTGCATCTTTCTTCTGTGAAGCTATGCAATATTACACAGCTTAATGGAACCAGCACAATGTCATCTTCAAACAACATTTGGCATTTCTAACTATTCACAAGGAATTATGTGGAACAGTGTTGTTATATGTCAATTGTGGCAGATCTACCATCCTTGTTGGCTACCTCAGAGTGTTATAAACATCTTTCCAAATCACCTCCGTTTTGATTTTTTTGGTTGCCCTCCAAATTTCATGATTACATGCCATCAAAATAATTTCTTCTGTTCAATCTCTTGCTATTGTTTTTTTTTTCTAATTTGAGAAATGGGGCCTTTATTAGAGAAACTTGCTGTGAAAAAATTTGATATTACTTTATTGTCTTTGGCACCTTTTAATAAAATGATGTTTCCTTGATTATCTCTTTTAATTAGGTCTATTTTTGCTTTTTGCTTTGTGAGGGAATTGAAAGGATTATGACAGCAAATGGTTAATAGTGGCAATTGAATGAAATACAGATTCCATCTTATGACTCAACTCTGGAGCTAGCTCAGTTCCCTTTCTATTCAATTATGGATCTAGGCCAATTTCTGTCCTATGAGAAAACTTTATTCAATTGTGAGAATTTGGAGAAAATCTTAATGCTTTGTTTGAAACTAGTCTTGTGTGGCTGGGAAGCTGGGCCACCTCCACTTGCTATTTAGAGACCCCTAACTAAGGATTTAGGTTATGCTGACCTGAAACCCAGTTAGACCCAAAGATTGATGCAAGGAGTTTTGTTACAATTATGCACCATAAGCGATCCGTATGTATTATCTGAAAATTGGCTCCACACTCATCAATCAGTTATTATTTGTATGTTCCTTTAATTGATATAGACACTTGGGATGGTGGACACCTCTTTTTCTGATTTCAGGGAATTGTACTTGTTTTCTCTCTCCCTCACAACTCAGAAAGTCCATAATTTTTCCTCTAATTAGAAATCAGATGACATAATGTATCCTGGTTAATTATTTCTTTTTAATTAATTGGCCTTATTTGATTAATTATTTTTAGTGTATAAAAATCTTTCTCCTCCATTAATTTGGGATCCAGCCCAAGATGAGGTGGTCTGGTGCTGATTTGTTATATAGTAGTCATGTATTACTTAATAAATTGGTATGCCCAGAAGATCAAATCTTTGTTTCCTCAGTCATTTCACCTTTCACTCGCTATATTTGTCTGAAATCATGATTGCTATTCCTGCCTTTTTTACTTCAGCTGAAGCACATTATATTCTGCTCCAGTTCTTTATTTTAACTGTGTGTATCTTTCTGTTTCAAGTGTATATCTTTTAAAAAACATATTGTTTGACTTTCTAATCCATTCTTCTAACCCCTTCCATTTTATGGGTGTGCCTATCCCATTCACAGTCTCACTTCATTCTCTGACTGTCAGGCTCTAGATCAATAACCGCCCCACCATGATTATCATCGATGTTAAGCTCTTTCTGGCATGGTTCTGTAAATTCTTGCTACCTCTTCTTAATCCCTTCTATGTCTGTTAAGTCCCTACTATTTTTGTGTCTTATCAGGCCCATTTTTACATGGAATATTCCCTTGATATCTCCAATTTTATTGATGACATTGCTTATATTTCCCATTCTATTGTTTTCTTCTATTTCTTTACATTGCTCATTTAAGACTTACCTTTCTTTGCTATTCTCTGGAATTCTACATTCAATTGGGTATATCTTTTCCATTCTCCTTTCCATTTTGCTTTCCTTCTTTCCTCATCTATTTGTAAAACCTCATCAGACTGCATTTTGCTTTATTGCTTTTTTTTCTTTTGAATGTTTTTTGTTGCTACCTTCTGTACAAAATTTCAAACCTCTGTCTATAGTTCTTCAGGTACTCTATCTGCCAGATATAATCCTTTAAAATGTCTTCCTCATTCCAGTTCGTATTCATAAGGGATGTTGTTTAGATCATACCTATATGGTCTATTGATTTTCCCTACTTTCTTCAATTTAAGTCTGAATTTTGCAATAACAAGCTCATGAGCTGAACCATGGTCAGTTCCAGGTCTTGTTTTAACTGACTGTATGGAGCTTCTCCATTTTTAAGTGCAAAGTACATAACCAATCTGATTTCTATATTGACCACGTGGTGATGCACATGTATAGAGTCACTTCTGGGTTGCCAAGAAAGAGTGTTTGCCATGACCACTGTGTTATCTTTTAGTATTTTATTTTTCCAATTATATATAAAGGCAATTTAACATTCATTTTTTTATAAAATTTGAGTTCCCTCCCTAAGACAGTAAGCAATTTGATTTAGGTTATATATGTGCAATCATGTTAAACATATTTCTATATTAGTCATGTTGTGAAAGAAGAATCAGAAC